ACCTTCTTGGTCTCGTGGGATGCAATGTTTTCGGAAACAGTACCCCTCCACGCTATATATCCTGCTTCAATTCGCTGCACCTCTGGTAGCAATCGATTTACAATGCGTGAACCTGCCGTCTTGGCCGCAGTGACGAGGTCTGCTTCAGCTCTCTCCTATCGGACGGGACCATTGACATGTTCCACCATCACCCCTCCTCCAGCCGTTCGCCGAAGATTAGTAATCGTCTGTCCATATGCACGATTCGCACTTCCCGCGCCTTGCATGTTGGACGCACCTACATCAGCACAACAAGAACTGCGCAGCGCAACAAAGCCGAGTCGCAGAAGGTAATAAGGTAGTTTCATGCCGAGAGAGGTATTCTTGGGCAAAAAAAGGAGGCGAGAGAAAGACCCCGGGCCGTTGATTTCAATGAAACCACGTATCTCAAGGAGTCGTGAGCTCTATTTTGTGATTAGAGGCCCAGCTTAACTTTACATATCCTCCAATCCCAATTTTGCTCTATGAACGTTCAAGAACCAACACCTGAGGCCCATGCAAGATGAAGATCCTATGTTTGCATAGTATGGAGACAGCTGCACAGGTAGTTGATCCTCTCTGAAATGAAGTAAAGGCGATGGTCTGTAGACTAAATGTACTGTGGATACTCGAAGCTTGGATAAGAAGAACTAACCTCAGAGCTCTTCATAGTCCTTCGACTTTGGCCAAGAAATGAATGAAGCGCGACTTCAAGAGAGTATGGGAAAAGAGTAGGAGCTTGTTTTGGTGGATGGAGACGCAGATTGCAAGCAAGCGGAACGTAGGCTACTTCTCCAAGCCATACCCTGGATCATTGCTAGGCAATGCAGTAACGAGATACGATTATTGACACTGATCAGGTACTGTTCACGAGTGATCTAGGGAAGATGGCGGAGAGGGGTGGCAGGAACCTGCAAAAGGCCAGATGGTAAGGCCAGTATGGATTTTTGATGTCGTAAGTGAGCGCTGAATACTCGAACCCTCGAACTGGCCCGTACGCGCGCGCCGAGGTTTTCGAAGAGACTTAAAGTTTCTCCAGAGTAATTGAGATCGAGGTTTCAACGACATTCGAATCTGTCAGTCTGGCTTTCGAGGAGAGTACCGTAGGGTAGGAGAGAGTCGCAGGGTAAGAGACTATTGTGGAATAGACTATTGTAGGGTAACGCTAAAACGTGCGAGTTCTGATTGAGGAGGGCACATCTCTGAAGCAGAATGGAAGCGTGACAGACAGAGCGGCTCATAGGTCGATGCCAGGCGCTTTCAGCCCTACAGTTCTTGGCGCTTATGCTCACTTTCGCAGCGCGCGCTCCAGAGACTAAAGTAGCTTCCGCTCTTCCTCTACCACTTCACCGTTATTTGTCGTCAACCCTCCAGAGAGCGAGTTTGGGTACATCATCTTTAAAGTTATACTCGACGCTAAGAGGACATATGGGGAGTCTCTGAGGAGCTTGTAACAGCCTGAGGATAAAGCAACTCGATTACCCCCACCTTCAACTCCACAGCAATTACCAATCTGACTGGCATCCATCATGGCAGAGGTTGTGACTGGGGCGAAGAACTGCATAGGCGTAGGCTGTCCAAAAGACGCCGGTGCCTTGCAGTGTCCGACATGTTTAAAACTTGGAAAAGAGAGCTCGTTCTGTTCACAAGACTGCTTCAAAAGGAGTTGGGTAGGCTACCTTGTACCCTCGTAAGGTACACATGGCCAACATCATGCGGTCCAGTAGCTGACCGTCTCTTAGTCAGAGCACAAGTCTGTCCACAAATCTGGCTGTACGTACCGTGATCGGCCTTTCTGAGCTTTAACTGATCGCAAGGCAGCAATCGCTCTCCACAACCCTTTTCCAACCTTCCCCTACACCGGACCCCTGAGACCTATATACCCGCTATCGGAAAGAAGAACCGTTCCAGAATCGATACCACATCCAAATTATGCTAAGACTGAGGGTGGCAATCCCAACTACAAGTTCGCGGCGAGGAATAGTATCACTTGTCTGGACAAAAAGCAGCAGGCAGGTATGCGGAAGGTCTGCCGCATGGCCAGGGAAGTCCTCGATGTAGCTGCAAGAGAACTCAAGCCTGGTGTCACAACGGACTATATCGACGAGGTGGTGCACAAAGAGTGTATTAAAAGAGACGTAAGTCCTGATCCCTAGAGCCCAAACTGATAAGATTGCTCATTTAGCTGCCAGTCATATCCGTCACCCTTGAACTACTCGGGCTTCCCCAAGTCCGTGTGCACCTCACTCAACGAAGTCATATGTCACGGCATACCAGACCAGCGCATGATTCGGGAAGGTGACATAATCAATCTTGACGTGACTCTCTACCACGGCGGCTTTCATGGTGATCTTAATGAGACATACTATATTGGCGAGAAAGCTCTCAAGGACCGAGAATCAGTCCGCGTGGTGGAGACAGCCCGGGAGTGCCTGGAAGAAGCAATTAAACTCGTCAAGCCGGGCATGGCCTTCAAGGATCCAGGCACAGTCATCGAGAAACATGCCAAGTCAAAAGGCTGCGGCGTCATTCGGACATACTGCGGCCACGGTATTAATTCACTTTTCCACTGCGCCCCCAACATACCTCATTATGACAAGAACAAAGCTGTGGGAATCGCGAAACCAGGAATGACCTTCACGATTGAGCCGATGATCAGTCTGGGTTCTTTCAGAGATAAGACGTGGCCCGATGACTGGACGAGTGTTACTTTGGATGGTTCGAGGACAGCTCAATTTGAGCACACTTTGCTAGTCACAGAGGATGGCGTTGAGGTTTTGACGGCTAGGCTTGCAGATTCACCAGGGGGACCGGTTGAGATGCCGCCAGAGTTGAAGGCAGACGGTGAAGGTGCTGCAAATGGAGCGAGTGATAAGTAGTCAGTTGAAAAAGGAGAAATGAAAGGTCTATGATCATCGTGATGAAATTCTGGAACGGATGGCTCACTCGTCCGCTGATGGAAAAGTCTCATGGGGTATTGACTTCGCAAGCGCTAAGCTTCAGTCGAGCATTTCCGCCCTTGAACGTTCTGGAAGGCTAGAGACTTCAGCGTTGCATGGCTACTTGGGACAATCTCTCATAGGAGTCAGCCTGAACGCTTTACATCTTTACATTCCGCGTTTTTGAGGCGTCAAGGCCCACGGGGAGAAACTCTCAACAAGGGATCCAGGCTTCGTTGCGGGAAGATGTGTCTACACCGAACAACGATCTGGCGATGAGATCATACTAAATCGACTCCGTCCTTTACGCTCCTCGCTGTCTGTCTCCTGTCATGTCTGCACTGTAGTCTTACCGCGTCCACATCACAGGACTTCGGTAATTTTCTCCGCGTGGAACAGAACATCAACCGTTTCGATTGGATGCCCAGATTTTGTATATGTTAGACCGTCATATTTTCTCATGTACAGCTGCAGAAAATAGATTAAGCCGTCGTTTGCTGGGTCGCACCATCGGGGCGTGGAGATGGGTTGATTTGCGGTACATTCACTCGTTCATCTCCTGGATGCACCATTTCTCCGTCTCAGAGCACGGTATGGTGTTCCAGCTCTGTTTTCGCTTTTGGGCTCTAGCTTCAGTTTGGATATACATAAATCCATTCCTCAATTTACAGCTGCACGGAAGGTATTGACGAGGGAGCAGCTACTCCGGGACTAAGATAGTGCCGGATCCCGCATCGACCCGCACCGATCCGCGCCGTTAGTACGGATGTCGGCGTCGAAAATCAGAAACAGCGCCAAGGCCGTGAATTAAGGTATGCCTCGTCGAGAACCTAATAAAGCGCCTAAATCCGGGCTCGAAATGCCCCTAACAAGCCCAAAACGAGTCCTAAAAAGCGCAACCGCAAGCGCACAGGAGCACATGGTGTGCCAAGACATCAGCCTTGGAAACCTGGGTGCTCACCTCCGTCTGTTGCCATTACTTTCTTACGAGCTCTCGGAGGTAGAGAGTCTTAAGATAAGAGCAGGTCCGATGACGCAATCAGGCACTATGAGTTGGGCGCACTAGGTCTACTCAAGAAGCTCGCCGGGTTGATTGATGTAATGTTACAGGACTGAGGGGTAAAGTACTCAGGTACCCAAGCAGCACGCGGCTCCTTTGGTAACATCTTTAAATCGATTTTGACTGCGAACTGTTTGCGCAGTGTGCGCGGTGATACTACTCGTATCATTATCATCATCATGTTCCTCTGCGACACGGTTGATGAAGAAGCAAACCCATGCTGAGAGATGCGGAAAGAAGAGTGTCGAAGCTAAGGAAACTCAGGACCATGAACAGAGACGCGATGGCAATTGCAAGTGTAAGCGTCATTGTACGTTGTCTTGCTGTTTTGCAAGTCTGATGATACCAGCGTTGTGATAGGCCAAAGATCTACTAGGGATGTGATGTGACGCAACGGTACACTAGTGGGGAGCTGCGACGAGAACCCGCCCTTGATGGGTTGCATTATCTTCCAGATAAGTGTGCTGCGAGAGAACATACCCAGATTGGGTGATAGGCCCATAGTGGAGAGCTCAAAGCTCTTACCATAAAGATAGCTTCTCATCCTGCTCCTCTTCCACTCCGACGTAACTTGCTTAACCCCCAACTGAAATTGACCAAAGACCAACGACCGAAGCGTCCCAAAAAGATGGGTATGTATTCCTTATCTGCCCCGTAGTTTGCCAGTGCCCAGCTGAGCAGCTGGCAGCCCCGAACAACAATATCTTCGCCGATATCGTGGCTACACAGCCTCCCAAAGATGTTGTGGAGCCCCATGGCAGTAATCCTTTTGCGCTGAACGATGGTGCTGCCTGTCAGCCGGAGAAACGTCTTAGTGTCGACGAGGAGAAGATTCTAGAGGGCATGAGGCCTTGCATTGCCGACCAACAGGAATACCCTCCACCGACGGACGAGGAACGAAACACACTGCGTAAGGTTGCAGACTCTATTCCACCCGTTTCGTACTGGTTATGCGCGGCTCAGTTTGCAGAGCGGGCTTCATACTACGGTGTCCAGACTGTTTTCTCCAACTTCATCGAATTCCCATTGCCCAAAGGTAAGAAGTAAGCCCGATCTCACGCAAGTGAAACTTTGGAGCTTATCAACTATATTAGGCGGCAATGGTGCCGGGGCTCCTCCACCAGGCACACAAGAGACTGCTGGAGCTCTTGGTCAAGGGGAACAGTTCGCTAACGCCTTTGTGCTGCTCTTCTTCTTTCTCTCTTTCTCTGTCCCCATCTATGGAGCGTACGTTGCCGACGTTCAGCTGGGTCGCTACAAGACCATCATGATTGGTGTACTTATTTGCGGTGTTGCTCATGTCATCATGATCGGTGGAGCCGCTCCCAGCGTGCTTCAAGCTGGCAAGGGCATGGCTCCGTTCCTGATCAGTTTTTTCATGCTTGCATTTGGCGTTGGTAGGTGACAGCTGATCGGTACCCGTAGCGTCACTGACAGTCCCACCAGGCATGTTCCAGCCTAACATCGCGCCGACAATACTCGATCAATATGTGCATCAGCAGGAATATACCAAAGTGCTCAAGAGCGGAGAAAAAGTCATCATGGACCCTGAGGCTACTGTCCAGCGCGTCATGTTGATATATTACGGCTTGGTCAACGTGGGTGCCTTTTTCGCTCTAGCTACGACCTACTGCGAGAAGGATGTCGGCTACTGGCTTGCCTACCTCACACCTGGAATCTTGTACTTCCTTCTCCCAACCTTACTTATAATCTTGAACAAGCATGTCGTCAAGAAAGCGCCCGATGCTTCGGTTCTCACTAACGTATTCAAAATCACTAGTATGGCAATCAAGCAGAATAAGTTCAAGTTCTGGGGCAAAGGCTATTTAAATGCCGCGAAGCCAAGCGTGCTCGCCGATAACGGTATCCTGACCTTCAATGGCAACCCAATCTCATGGACGGATCAATTGGTAGATGATACTGCTCGCACATACGCAGCGTGCGCCATCTTCCTCTATTTTCCAATCTGGTATAGCAACGACGGTGGTATCGGAAACATCCTTACCAATCAAGGTGCTGCTATGACCACAAACGGTGCGCCCAATGATCTACTCTCGAACTTCAACCCGCTCACAATCATTGTCGTCATCCCGATCCTATCATATGGTGTTTACCCCATGCTGCGCAAGTACAAAATCAAGTTCGGACGCATCAGTCGCATTACCTTCGGCTTCATCCTGGCCGCCATCTCCGGCGTTATCGGCGCCATCATCCAATGGCGCGTCTACGAGACCTCGCCCTGCGGCTACTATGCCAGCTCCTGCTCCATCGGCACCGGCGTATCGCCCATCAGCATCTGGTGGCAAATACCCAACGTGGCGCTCGGCGCCATCTCCGAGTGCTTCTGCAACGTCACCGCGTACGAAATCGCTTATGCCCGCTCGCCGAAAGGCATGAAGGCAGTCGTCATGTCTCTGTTCCTGTTCAACACGGCGCTGGGAACCGCGTTGGGAGAAGTGCTCACGTCCGTGACTGTCGATCCGTATCTGATCTGGATCTGGGCCGGATTGGCCATTGCCTTGGCGGTCCAGACGGTTATTTTCCACTGGACCTACAAGGAGATGGACAACGACGAGTTCATGACGTACCAGGACGACAACGAGGTGCTTGAAGAGCACAGGCGTGGCAGCCGCGTTGAGCGAACGGTAGGTTCGATGGAAAGGAAGGGCAGAATGGAAAGCTCGGAAGAGGGTGAAATCGACAGTGCTGAATACGCAACTCGCCCTGCCCGACCTTGAAGTTAATCACATCTCCGTGTACGTCTCTGCGCCCGAGAGCAAGCTCTTCTACACTCAAATTGGATGCCTGCACCACGGGTGTGCACATTTTCGACCTCGGTCCGAATGACAGTCGATCTCCTATCTCCCCACAATCTTTCAATTATCGACGCGGAGCCCGCAAAACCCTCAAGGAACGTGACCTCCTCATCTTCCGCCAAGACGGAGACTCGAGCCGCATCTCAGCCCGGAGCCAACACCCTCTTACGAGGGCGTCCAAGTCAATCGCCAGACTATATCGAATTTGACGAGGAAATCTCGTTCCTCATCTATTACCAGTGTTGCTAATAGTGCATCAACTAGATACTTCGCTATCAGTCAGATCGCTCAATTCTAGCACTTGAATAATGCACTCTGAGATCTAGTAGTCAACAGTCAATCCTGCAATACCCTAGGCTGACAAGAACCCACTTGCGCAACGCAAACAGGAATTCTGTAATGCAGCCCTCAGGAGTCCATCCTTCACACCAACCACGTTTCATTGCTGTCCCTCTTGTAATCGTACTTAATCAGCGCTCCGAAACGAGTTCTATTCGCCACAGTGCGACTGGGGGTTAGTCGGTCTCATGATATCGCCGCCATTTCAGACCCTTGCCAGGTACTCTGTAAGGGCTAGGAGACACGCCTCCAGTCCGAACTATACAGTCCCCTGTTTCGCGCCCGTCAATGGCTCTTTATTCTATTCCGTCTCTCTCTCAGAGCCATTGCATACGTTTGTCCCACCCATCCACCCACCCGTGCCTGTACATAGCCATTTCGCTCCAGATTTACGCCGTAGACATAGGAGTTTTTACGCGCTGGGGTACGAGTATATGCCTGCTCAGGCCTATTCAGGCTTGCTATGCCCGGCGTGAGACCGCTCAAGCAGTTGTTTTTATTTATCCTATGTGGGCCCTGGTTGGACATGTGATGTGGGGGTTTCAGGAATGGGACGTTTGAAGGGCTTTCTAGGGCTGCTGGAGTTCCATAATAGTTGGTCTGGCGATGTGATGGTGTAAGCTTGGTAGGCGGTCTCTGATATGGTTTTTGACGCTCGTTCTGTGACGCGGAAGTACAACGCCAATGAGGAGAACATCTGCACTCACTTCCGGTCTGTACAGTTGGGCGGGAGACTTTGGAGCCTATTTACGCTCGTCGAGCCGGTGATCAAAAGCCCAATGATAAGGTACGCCATCAAGACGGATCTTTGAACAAGCAACCTTAAGGGGAGAATTGGTTCATCGGCGTACTTTGCCTCTACGGGCAGGAATAGCAGGCTAGCTATAACTCAAAGAACGAACAGGCGGATGATCAGTGGATTTGTGACCATAAGCCTCTTGCTGGCGAATTTCCAAACAAGCAGGAATGCCACAATGAAAGTGGCAAGAAGAATTGCGCCGGGAAAGTCGACGCGGCGGAGCTTAGACAGAGATCCCTCGCTGGCTTTCGGGCTGCCATCTGCTCTTGCGCTGGCGTTGTGTTCAGAGTCAGTCGGGAGCTTCCACCACACCTGGATTAGAGCCAGCACGGCCAAGGGAGCCTGACAAGCAAATGAACCTCGCCAGCCAATCGTATCCGCCAAGATACACCACAAAGGCGCGCCAACGCTTCTCCCAATCGTAACCATCACATACATCCACGACCGCCGTACGGCCATCTCGCGCAACGGGACCAGAGACAGGATCAAACTTGAGACAAGGCTTCTCATCCCCGCTCCAGACATGCCTGCCACGACGCGACCAAGGGCGAGTTCGGATAGATACCTACCCCGACTATAGAGAATGCAGCCGATGCCGAATAGTGTATAGGCAAATGTAAGCACGACTCGATACCCAAAGATGTCGCTGAGTTTGCCGTACAACGGTTGAGCAGGCCCCAGGCCCAGTCGATACGAGGCCAGGATCCACGTAGCATCTTGAAAGTGGCCCAAATCGGAGCTGATGGTGTTATACACGGCGATGACCATGGTGCTATTTACGGAGAGGAGCCAGACTCTGAAGTAGAGTACGAGGACGGGACCCAGGATCCCTGACGCGCTCGGTGAAGCATTGTCGTTGGGATCCTCTTCGTGATGATTTGATTCTTGCGGACTCGCATCGCTCTCTGACGGAGCTCTCTCGACACCTTGGCCGCCTTTCGTTGGCTGTTTTAATAAAACGAGGGCCAAGCCATGACATTCGAGAATGGGAGGTTCTGGGGAGGGGTTGAAGCAGGGGTTTGCTGAGTCCATGTTCGGATGGGTCCGCTTGATCAACGGAACATCCAGAGCTTCGATTTAGATGGAAAACTCAGAAAGATTCCGAGGGTCTTATCAATTTTTGCTGCATTTGGAGTTAAGACCAGGCCTGAGGACGAGAGACGGTGTTGATGACTTAGAATCATAAACCCACGAACCCCCAGTCCCACTGTGGCGAATTTTGCACACCGTAAATTGGCGTAATTTTAGACCGTGGTCGATCATGCCAGATAAAGCACACACGGTTTCGTTTTATCGTACCTGACGCTTGTCACACTACTACAGACTAGACTCTTTAGCTGGGAACCCTGCTGCCCTAGCCTGAGCCCATACCAGATTCATCTGAAGACTTAAAGACTGACTAGATGTCATCAAATGCAGGCATTTGCGTGCCTGTCATCTAATGCACAGCCGGCAAAAACCGAGAGAAGTACATGTCAACAGCCTCAACGTCTTCCGTGGCACAGACAAGACCCACATGTCCGTCAGGTCTAATGATTGCTAAGCAGCCATCACCCTTTGAATAGATTCTACGACGCGAGTAAGCTTGTGCGGGGTTGCCGCGAACATCATCGTTTTCAGCATAGACTTTCCAGCAATCACATCCAGACTGGTCGCTCAATGGTGAAAGACTCTATGTAAGTCGAATACTTCAACCTTAAACCGATGGGCAGTATGAATGGTGAGAACCTCAACTGGAGCGTCGATCGGATCGCCGAAAGGAGTGACTCTGCGTAAGAAGCTCGTCTCTGACGAAAGATAATTGCCCAGCTCATCCAAGCGATCGAAGTACGTTGGTTCAGAGACGTCGCCTGCAAAGACAAGGATCCTGAACTGACCATCTGATCTTAGCACCTCGTGGATTTGACCAGGGCAGGACACCGAGGCTGGCGGAAGTCCTTCGCAGGTTCGATGCACTGTGTAGAGCCAGTCTGCGCATATTCAAGGTCGAAAGCGAGTAGCTCTTGAGCGACGGGCCGTCTTTTGCTTTCGTATATCGCGAGAATGGATGGGTTGGCGCCCCACGTGTAAGACTGCAGAGAATTTCCAGCCTAGGTTGTAAGCTCTGCGATCATTAGTCTCGGACGCTCCCGGTCCGAAAGACTTATAGACACCATCTTGTATGCTCATGTTCATACCCTGACCTGCCTTTAGGGAGTGTGTGTCTAAAAACTATTCGGCCTCTCATCTTGGGCAATCCCTCAGACGTTGGCCCGAATAATCACCAACACTTTGTTTGGAGGAGTACATACGAGCAGCGTCGCCGTTAGAAGTTGAGGAATCATCTGCGATCCGTTGACCTATTCGATAGATTGACCACCAATCACAAAACACAAAGCTGAATGTGGATGGCGATGGAACCTTACGAGCTTTCTCCAGAATTTTAACAAATGAGTAAACGCCGTCCTCTGGAAAAGAAGAATATTCCGCGTCTCCATCAAACAGCTATATGTAGACGCGCACAAGCTGGTTCTCTCAAGGTATGATGGGGAGATTTCCATGCAAAGGCTGAACACCGCAGTTCTTCCGTATGTCCGGGAAGTCTGTCTTTGCAAGAACATCCAGCACACCTGAATGAAATTCAAGAGTGAGTTGTCTTGCCGGCCGAGGATCATGTTGTACGTACCCCAAACCGGTACTATTCCTTGGCCCCGGAAAGCGACATCAAGGTGTTTCTGGGTCCAACTATGAGCACCATTGCAACCGACGACGTACTTCGTCTTGACCATCTGTTGAAGAGACCCCCTTGAAATAATCCGCTATGTGCTCGCTTTTCTCACCATTGCAGACGAAGTCTTCGCGTCGTCGCTCTCTCCTTAGTACTTTTTGGCTCTGAGAGTTATTTCATTTGGACCCCCTTTGAATACAGATTCGTGCTGGAAACGTGCCAGCATTGAGTGCTTCTGTAAGGTGGACAGGAGTCGATCCAAATTCGACTTGATTGTTCCGAAAGACCTCAATATCCTTCGATAGGAGCCCTTCAACAGTAGCTAGACCATTGTAGGAATAACACTTGATCGATATTCGCGTCTTCAAAGCTCTTATCTTGCTGTAGTATGAGCACGCGCGGCTTCCTTAGTCCACTGATGACCTCGGGTTGATTATCCGAGAAAGCCCGCTTCATCTGGATCCTAACAGCACTGTTCGTCGACGCGACAAGCCAGACTCCCCAAGTGGTGCCCGATGCCAATGGAGTGGAGCATCTCGATCGTCAGACATTGAAAGCCATCGGCGTGACCGACCGCTAGGGTTTGACCCTTTTCTCGATGATTCGATATCTGACCTTGTTGTGGTTGGAACAGATTGCTAGCATGAGTCTGTCCAAAAAATCAGCTGTTGTGTTGAGTAGTGCATCAAGTTTGAGGACCTTGCAGGTCGAGCACCGATGATAAGCACATCCACACCGTCTAAAGGCATGCCCGTTGAGCTGTCTGGTATCATGGCTCTTTGCAATGTGCGCGGTAAATTACAAATTCATACCTCAAAACTTTTTTTTTTTTTTTTTTTTTTTTCTTTTTTTTTTTTTTTTTCCCCCCCCCAAATTTTTGGGTATGAAAATATAATTTACCATTCTTTGGGGTATGAATTTGTAATTCATTAAACTACGTCTTCGAGTGCTCGGTATTTAACGCCTCAAAGAAGCCCCGGGAGCCTTGAAAAGCCCCTAGAAAATTGAACCCTAAATTTATCGCGGATTGGGGTGAGTTGGGGATTTAAGAGCTCGCCTCAGCCCCGGAGCGAGATTTCGACGAGTTACACGGCGAACCCTAGAGGTCTTCAGTTCGGGGCTCCCGGGGCCGGTCCGGCCTGATTTCGCAACCCCCGAAGACCTAACCTCAGCGCACTATGGTAAATTACATTTTCATACCCCAAGGAATGGCAAATTACCGATTCATACCCCATTGGGGTATGAAAATGTAATTAGGGGTAAGGATCCAAGGTTTTGGGGTATGAATTTGTAATTTACCCGCAATGTGCGCCTCATGGGTGTTGTTCTGCCTTCTAAGGTGTGTGAAGTTGTTGAGATTTACTGCAGCACCTATATTGTAGCTACCCCTCATGGTGGCAATCAGATAGCAAATTCGCATAGGCTTCACATGATATATAAGTAGCTTACATACCATTCCATAGTTAATCAGTCAAGATGCTGAACAAGTAATCATATATATGCATTTTGTTAGAAGAATTTGTACGGGAATGGAAAGACTCAGAGCTTTGCATAGTATAGGTGTGGCCATGGATAGTACATTGCAGACAATGCTGAAGAAGACAGTCTCCAGAATGGTTACTGGCGAGGGACACTGAGAGGTCTCGGGAGCTGAGCCACCACCGCCCTCAATTCAGCTGGGAGGAAAGCCGGCACAGACTAAAAGAACCCCAAGAGAAAGCTAGATGTTGTTCGATGCGTATATGGTTATTTTATAAACGAAGATGTTGAAATCTAAAATCTAAACAGAAGTGAGACCAGAAAAGAAGAGAACAGAGCGGGACTCGGAGATCTTCGGTCTTCTTTTCTCTGATGAGCAGTCGCGTATCATTGCAGTAGCGAGCGCCATTGTCGGAAGTGGCTTGCTGAGTACCACCCCAATTGGTAGGACTGTGCCAGTTCGAGTCTATGTGGTGTGTAAGGGAAAACCCCAAGCTAAGGAGGAGTACTTCATGTATGTGGGCAAAATAGCTGTAATATATGAAGACTAATTGTTGTTTTAAAAGACCCACACGGCGAACCGAATATTGAGCTCTACCTATGTCTACAAACTACGATCAAGTTATGTAGAATAAAAGTTAGGCGAAGTGAATTATAAGGGGTAAATTACAAATTCATATCCTTACAAATTCATACCCCTAATTACATTTTCATATCTCAATGGGGTATGAAAATGTAATTCACCATTCTTTGGGGTATGAAAATGTAATTTACCATAGTGCGCTGAGGTTAGGTCTTGCCCGGACCGGCCTCGGGAGCCCCGAACTGAGGACCTCTAGGGTTCCCCCTGTAACTCGTCGAAACCTCGCTCCGGGGTTGAGGCGAGCTCTCAACTCACCCCAATCCGCGATAAATGTGTGTGTGTGTGATTCCTACATCGGAGGGGCGCCCCTCTAGCCATATAGGCAAGAGTGGGACCGTTTTTCCCCACTCGGCCTTTCGGCCATATCCGGTTTTTATATATAATATGCTATCTAGAGTAATCTATACGCCTAATATATATAAAGATATAGAGAAAAGAGAAGAGAAGAAATAGTGCTAATTAAAGAGTTATCTTCGGGCTATACCTCCCTAATTCTATCTTATCTCGCTTTTATCGAAGTTTCTTATTTATATTATTCGTTCTATTATCTTTTATTAAGTATTAATTAATTGATTAGCTTTTATAAAGTTACTTAAGAGACGATATCTTAAATATCTTTCTTAAAGTAATTATTTCTATACTCTATAGCTATTATAATATCGAATAACGACGTCTATAGAATATATTCTCTTTTAAAGAATTGTCGTTATATTATAATTATACTTTAGCTACTATAGTCGCTAGATTAATTATCTATATCTTTTATACCCTCGAATCTCATATCTAAATAGAGTTATTATATTACTTCTCTATTTATAATATTTAATCTAATACTTAAATAATTTCTATCTCGCGAACGAGCTTCTAAAAATCTATTCTAAGAATATCTTTTATATTAGCTTCTCTAAGTATATTACTATCGTATCGCATAGTAAGTATTAAATATATTCTTTTTTATATATCGATAATTATTATCTATAATATCGCCTTAAAATAATAAATTATATATTCGCTCGAAGATAGATTAGCTAGCTCCGCTATAGGGTCTTTTATAAGAGGATTTACGCTCGTATCTATTATAAGAATATATTATCTCTTTAGATTCTCGTCTTATATAAAGGCTATAGCTTCGAAGCGAAGATATTTAAATTTAGTTATTCGTTATAAATCGTCTAGCTCCTCTAATAAAGCGATATAATTACT